AAGGTTCCTGTGGCTTCAACACCTTCTATCATTTCATCTCTGTTAGTGAGAATTAAGTCCAATATGGCTGATCCCCTAGTTCCCTTCTCTACTTTTTAGGAGACAAAGTTGTCTGGTAGGTTTGTCAGGAATCTGTTTGATCTTCCATTTGGTGCAGAGTTTGTCTCCCAGTTGATGTCAGGGTAGTTAAATTCCCCCATTACTATTTGCTTTCTACATACCTTAGTTAGCTGACTAGCAAAAGGTTCATCTATTACCTCTGTTTGGTTGGGTGGCCTATAGTATACACCTATGGCAATGTCATTTCCCCCCCCCCTTTTATATTGACCCAATCTATCTAAACAAACAAGAAAGGAGTTGAAAAGAAGGAGTTGAAACTCTAACAATAAATTATAAATTATTGAATTTACAAACCACATAAATATATCTGGCAAAGAAGTGTGACAAGATTGTATACTGTTCCCTTTTTATATCCTGAATATATACTGGATTGGAAGATGATGAGTGTTTTTACAGTTGGAGAAGAAACATCAATAATCTGCACTATGTTGATGACAACATTCTGATAGCCAAAATGTTAAAATTCTACAAGCTCTAGTTATAAAAATCAAGCACAGTGAAAAAAAAATGAGACTAAAATTACAGGGATGTAATTTCATGAACAGAAAGTATTTGGAAAACCAAGCTTCCTTATTTAATAAAATCTCTGTCAGAAGCCTTACATTAGGTATTCTAAATAAAGAGAGATATTCTTTTTATTATGATATCTGTGGAACGTAAATGTTTTTCAGGTTTAGAAGGTTTTTTTTTTTTGCTGTCCTGCAATTACTAGTTTAGTTTTCATATATTTTAATTTTATTTTATTAAGTTTGCAAGCTCTATCTGTGGTATATATTCTTTAATAAATTCATTATCTTAATCTGCAAAGTGCATGATAAAGAAGTTGCTAAAACCTTAGCTTACAACTTTATAATTTAGCTTTAGCTTACAACATTTTATATAATGTCAAATTTCTAACATAACTTTGTGCCAAAATAGAGCTGGTGTTTCATTTTGCTTATTCACATTGAAATAAATTGGACTAAGCATTCCAAAGATAAAAAGAGTTCCAAAAATGAGGTGTTCTTTAATATTTGGATATTCTCCTAATTTTCATTGGCTTGCACTTTTAAAATGACTTGGCTGAAAAAATTTAAAAGTTACTTTAAAATTATCTTGGCAACTTCTAATGCTTACTACTAATGTGGTTATGTTGAAGCTGAATTATACACTACCTTACTGCTGACATCAATACTGTAAAAGTTATTTATGCATATTATGACTTCATGTTTCTTAGGCAATTTAAACAGATTTCCCCCATCTCCTCTCTCTCCTTTTACTAATATTTCACAGGCATAATTACAAATCCAAAAACTATACTTCCATAAAATAATCAGACTGTAACCATATTAATTTATTTACAGTAGATAGAAAAACTATATTGTTCAGCAATGGGATTTTATCATACTCATTCTGACTGAAAAAAACTTGAACAATCCATTCATAGTACAAAGTGACAGTTCAAGTTTATTAAGCAGACTTAATTCCTTTGAGAAGCATCAATGGTCTTTAAATAATGAAACTACACTTAATTTGGTTTTGTAGGCTACAAGCTGAATAAGGTTTTCCATTCCAGCAGCAGCTGGAAAGGAATGTGAAATGGTAGATTTTGTGCTCTATAGCTCAATAAATAGTTCAAGTGCTCCTTAAAAACATAAAGACTACATACATTAAAAATTGGAGTGTAGTCAACAAAATTTCAGAAAGCAAAAGGTAATTGAATTTTTGTGATACTTAAATATATGCCATAGACTCTTTTTTTTTTTTTTTTTTTTATTAAAAGTTTTATAAATTTTACAAAAAAAACAAGAACAATACAGAACAAAAAACAACATATACAAAAGAGAAAAAAAAATTAAACAATACATATAAAAAAAAAAAAACCCCCACCCCACACCCCTCCCAAAAACCCTCCCTTCCCCCCCCCCTGAGCTTCCCAGAGCAGAATATAGGCTTAAGAAATAATAATAAAAAATAAAAATTAAATTAAAAACTCTATATTTATATATATAAAAAAGATATCTATAATATATATAAAAATAAAACTTATGAAAAGGCTATATAATATTTTTGTATACCCAATCTAAATTGTATAAATTTTATCAATTTGTCCCAGATAGCAAAAAACTTCTCTTGCGTTTGTTGCTTTAAGAAAGCCGAAATCTTTGCCATTTCCGCCAAATAAGCTACTTTAAAAAACCATTCCTGCAATGTAGGCAAAGATTCCTTCTTCCAATATTGTCCAACCAACAGCCTCGCGGCTGTGATCAAGTTTAACATCAATACAACCTCCTTTGTATCACAATCTGTAACAATACCTAACAAAAATAATTGCGGAGTGAATTTTACCCTCCTTCTAAAAATTCTCTGGATATTCCACCATATTTTGATCCAAAATGCTTTTATCTCTCTGCATGACCACCAAATATGATAATAAGAAGCCTCCTTGTAACCACATCTCCAGCATTTAGGTTGCACGTCAGGGTACATATAAGACATTTTTTGTGGATCAAGGTGCCATCTATAAAACATTTTATAAAAATTCTCCCTTAAATTCTGTGCTTGAGTAAATTTGACATTTCTCACCCAAATAGTTTCCCAGGTGTCCAATGAAACTGGCTCACCAAAGTTCTGCGCCCATCTAATCATACAATCTTTAATTAGTTCCGTTTCTGAGTCCAATTCAACTAAAACCCCATAAATTCTCTTAATGTGGGTTTGTCTTTGATCCTTCAGTTGCTTAATAAGATTTTCATCTTCTCTAAGAAAACCCACCTTGCAATCCATCTTCCATCTATCTAGTAGTTGCCTATATTGGAACCAAGAATAAGTAAAATTTTCTTGTGCTAATTCTTCCCGTGATTTTAATTGCCAGTTTTGTCCATCCCATTTAAGTAACTGTCTATAAGACACCATATCCATTTTAACCCCTCTTTTTATTCCTTCTATCGCATGCCAAGGTATAGCCCATAATGGTACTTTAAAATCACTTTTATAATATTTTCTCCACATCCTAAGTAAAGAAATTCTTAAAATATGAGATTTAAAAGCCCAATCTATTTTTTTATTAAATATTAAATAGGCATGCCACCCATAAAGTAAATCCCATCCCTCTAGATAAAGTATCTCAGAATTTGTCAAATTTACCCAGTCACTAATATATGCCATAGACTCTTAACTGGATGCCACATTACTCTGTAGATCACATTTTATCTGTCTAACACTTTCTTCCCTGCCCTTTCATTATTTCCCTGCATCTTTTCAATCATAGAAAACATCTAGGTGGTCATTAGCAGATGAGAACAACTTCATGGCACACGACCCACCCACCCACCCATTCTTTACACTGTTCAAACTTCAATTCTAAATGTATTTATGTAATGCCAAACCAACCGCTTATTATTTAAGCAAATTTGAATAAATTCTAGTTTTGAAAATAATTCCTGATCTTAAAGGACTATTAACAATGTAAGCTTTGTAAATTTTGCTATATATTATTCAGTCTATGTATGTATATGCTTGGGGGGGGGAGGGGAAGTCTAGTTTTCTAGAAACTCTTGCAGCTCAAGTCCTGCCAATAATGAGGACTAAAGAACCACAGATTTACTGTAGATTTATTATTCCAATTGGAATAAGATATTGCTGTGCGTTAACTTCAATATTCCGTTAAGAGGTCCAATTCAAAGCTTCAAGAACTGTTTAATATAGTCTGGACTGAATCAGATTTTCCAATCCAACGTTGCCTTGAATCCAGAGCAACATTTGTTCATTATCTAGCATGAGAGAAATACAAAGGATTGGTTTGTTGTTATTCCACGCAGAGTACATTTTTATAATAGGAATTAGCCTGACAAATGTCACTAAATTGGTGATAGTGTTTCCAAGATATGCTATGGTGTCACTGGGATATAATTTGATGAAAACTGCATGAAACAGTAACTAAGATAGAGAACACTCATGCTATATTTCAGAGAGTTAAGATTTGGAGGATTTGTTCGGGTTTCTTCAAAAGAAAGGAGTATTACTTTTGGGAGGGGGGGACATTGTGGAACTACTTTTCTCAGATGCTGCATCGGAATATAAGCGAAAAATCTGGTTGCATTTATCCAACAAATTTGATGGTAACTGAATTAAATTAATTAGTGTTGGTTTACTTTAAAGGACAAGAAAGACTAAAATAGGAAGATGCTAGTTAAATTCAACAACAAATCACCCACAAAACAAATTTATTGAAAACATAAAGACAATAAAAGAAATTGTTTCAGTTTGTTCATGAAGAGTTCCTGATCTGAAGGGGTAGTCCAATGATCCTCTATAGGTTATTCACTATAGCTTTCCCTCTCCAATAGTTTCAAATCATTTTTTAAAGAATACTTTCATTTTATATTGCTCTTATGTTCAGGTGCTTCTTAAAGAACTGATTTTTTTTCTTCCATTCATGCTTAATTCTTGATGGTTGCCTGGATAAATCTCTGCAGGTTTTTCAAAAGTGGTTTTCCAGTGCCTTCTCATTAGGGCTGAGAGAAAGTGACTAGTTCAAAGTCAGCCAGCTGGCTTCATGCGCAAGCAGTGACTAGAACTCATGGTTTCCCAATTTCTACCGTGATGCCTTAACCACAAATCAGACTTGTTCTCAGAGGTCTTATCTCAAATTGGTCCAGTCTGATCTTAGCCCACATGATTCACCTGACATCATCTGAAACTGCAATTTATCAATATTATTTGAAAATTCCTAAAGGAAATAAATGCTTAAAAGCTTACACTTTTTAAAGTTGTAAAGGAATAATTACCTCAGAATCTGGCTTTGTATTTTTTCATAGTTCATTATTTTCAATATTACTTCTTGAAGAAATGCATTCTTCCATACTCTACAGAGAGAAGAGGTTAAATCTTCAACTTACATGATCTCCAAAGCTGCGGAAAACCAGGCTGTTGAGAAAAATTGCAAGCATCTAGCTGCTTTTCTTCCCTCCTGTGTGAGTCTTCTCCCCAGGACCACCACGGCAGAGTTGCCTATAAAAGCAGCAACCGTGAGACAGGTGGGAGACGAAATGTGCATTTTGGAAGCTTTGCAGCCAGCAACACAGAAAGCAGCCAAATTAAAGAAGGTGTTTTTCCTTCACAGAGATCGAGCGGTCCAGAGGAAACAGAAGAGTCACAGCAAAGCATATGTGCTTTAGATGCTGTCCATTAATAAAGAAAAAACAGTAGAAACCACAAATAAAAGAGGAATTAAAGACAGATCAGTATCTGTAAGAGTAAAACATTGCTCTATACTAGTAACAGTAATAGAAGCAGTATAGAGTCTAGAGAAAATTGTATACTAGCAATTGAAACATGCATATATATTTGTATGTTTCACTTTTATACTTTAATCCTTTTCAAAATAAAATACCACCCCAACCCTTATAAGGAAATATAAAAATCAAACTGTTCAATGCTATTGTGAATCATTTGAGCCTGGGTCAATCAAATTTGCTTCAGTTTAAAAAAGAACCTCTGACAATCGCATCTAGACCTTCAATTCCCAGCATTCCCAGTGTTGAGAATTCTGAGAATTAAAATCTAACTGACCTGCAGGCATTTAGTCTGGGGGGGGGGGAAGCTCAGCTATCTTCTTTAAAGGTAGGCATTTTAGTAGAATTATGTTTCCAGCTAAGGCAGACTAAGCAGAAGCAAATGCCTTAAGATTCATCCTGTTCTAACCAGCATTACCTTCAATTAGAGCAGATAAATCATTCACTCATATATTTGTATATAAAACTAGATATTTACATACAACATTTTTCTTTCCAACTATCACTCATGATTTCATGACTAATTCTTTTATAATTTTTTTTAAAAAAAACTTTCTTAGATTTTCTTTCTTAGTAGTTAACTCCCATTTTTGTTCTTCAGCAGCTCTATTTTGCCTACTCTTAATCAGGATCTATACATATTCAGCATTTATTCAAACTTATTTAATTATGTTTCTTCTTCACTTCATTTTTTAATAACTGGGAAGAAATTCTTTGGCAAACTGTATGGTTCTCCACGTTTTCCTCTTATATGTGAACAATGTTTTCACTTATATAAGCTTACATTAAGGGGCATGTCCACTGGTAGCATCCCTCCCTCTGGTTTTGCTGGTTCGGCTGCTGGCAGTTACACTGGCAAACCACAGACTCAGAATTATAATTTCCCATCTCTGGCATTCATATTCAGAATAAGCTTGTAACAAGATAATAAAAGCAAATCAATTAATGTGAGAAATGGCAATATTAAAAAAAATGCTGGTTCAAATGCTGAATACCTAACAATGCCCTGTGTTTACCTGGGGTCAACTTATTGTCATTGCTATGTAAGATTCCATATCAACTACCTGGTTTACTAGAGAGGTGGAATACAAGTAAATAAAATCTTGGGGCTTCGATTCAGGTCCATTTAAAGTCTTATTCTACAATATTGCTACTAAGAAAATAAACATATAAATTATTGATCAAATGAACCCAGAATTCTCATTTGAGGCAGAAACAACCAGACTCAAACATCATACCTTCACATTATGTGAAGGCCTGATTCTTTGGATAAGGCTTTAATGCATGGACTTAGTAGAAACATAGAAGAGGATGATCAGCAGGAAGGTGTATGGACTCAGATACAATGGCAATGGTGCACTCTTGGAAGACTTGAAGGACCAGGTTGGGGCCAGATTTTCATGGAAAAAAAATCTATGTGGTTGCTAAGATTCAACACTGATTTGATTGCACATAATTGATTCAACATTCAATAAATCAATCAATCTAAAGGCCAAAGGCAGAATAGAATGTTTCCTTCTCTACCTTTATTGTATTGACTAGAATAGATGAGGTATTATTTTGTATACTGTTTAGTTTACTTTCACCAATATGTAGAAAAAAAAATAGTTGATACCTTGTTGCTAGCTATTTGTATTAAATTCTAACAGACAATTGCATAATCACTAATGTGAAGGTGCCATATTCAATTGGATTCATATAGGTTAAAACCCTATGTTGGGTCAAGTCACAGGGATATGATCTCAGCAAATCTTTGTTCTGTTCTTTTAGGTTTATTTCTATTGTAGATATCAAGCATGTAAACAGGATATGTAAAGAGATGAGAACTATAATTTGATTATTTAACTCCCCAGTTGAGTAATTTGATAAGGATGGGATTTGCCTTGTCCGTTTGAAAAATTTTGTCAAATATCTTTGGGATAATTTTGCTTATGCTATTATTGTATAGTCTTTGTTCTTTATTCCCTTTAATTATCATGTTATATGTTTATATTTCTATCTGTCTATCTATCTATCTATCTATCTATCTATCTATCTATCTATCTATCTATCTATCTATCTATCTATCATTTTTATAGCTTTCTGAAGATGCTTCCTTAGTCAGACCCACCCTTAATAGTTTTAAGTACCTATCATATCTTGAATCAGTATTCTTTCATTTTAAAAAAATCATAACATATATAAAATAAACAATTCCCCAGTCATCCATTCATTGTGCATATTCATTTTCCATTAGAACACTCATATGCCCTATTCTGAGCTTCAGTGAAATGAGAAAGATTAACCACCAAAACAAATAACTATTATTTTTTCCTCATCCCCAATTCTTGACAATCAAAGGCAATAAATGAGAAATGAAAATAGCTAAAATTAACAATTATACATTTAGAATTCACAGACAGAATCAGCTGACAAGAAAAATCTAGGATTCCATTTTAATTTAGATTTTCTCTTCATTTTGGAAAATACAAATACATAGTGAAATAAAATGATTCTATTCTTTACAAATCCATGCATATATAACAGCCAATGATGGATACTACAAGATACACTGAAAGGAAAACAGCATAGATATATCTGCAATTATCTGTTGCACTTTCAAAAATCAATACACTATTATAGTTGAGCACACAAGAAATTCTAACATTTATATACTGTAATATTAAATATATGACTCAAAGCCTATAGAACCCATACAATTCCCAATGCTTAATCAAAAGAATAAATTGCAAAACCTTTCTCTCATCTCTTCATTTAACTCTCAGTGCATTTACCAAAGATGTTTTCTATTCTTGGTTTAAATGCTATGTAGCTATTTGAAGCATACAACTGTGTTGAGTCTGGGAACAGACCAGTATTCCTATTTAAAATTCAGTCTTTATTTCTTACAATGTGCTATGTTAGTAGTTCAGGCAAACTTCCTCATGCTGAAATATTTTTTACCCAATCTGACTTTCTAGGAGAGCCTCTAATTACTGCACAGTTCAAAGAGGCATCAATGCAGACAGCAATATGTTTTTGCATCCATCTTAATTTTGTTGTTTGGCTGTCCCAGCAAAAGTGTTAGTTATTGCTTTCATTATGAACCAGTAAATACTTATTTGATATCATAGAAACTCAGGTTGTTGTGCATTTTTAAGCTACTGTAAAAGAAAAAACAAAAGCAAGGAAAAATGAATCAGCAGTAAATCAGATTCTTCAGCTACAGACTGGGATAGCAGATGCTTTGGGCTTGTTCAGACTTCAAAAGAAGCATCCACATTTATATCTACTCAATTTATCCACCATAGTGGCTATCTCTTTTAAATGAAGAATCTCAACTTCCCCAGCAAAATCATTACTGACACTGTGGAATTATTTATTACATTTCTTAATTTTGCAAATGCTGTTTACTGGCATGAAATCATGAAAATATACATCAAAGACTGAAGCAATTTGTGAAGGTCAGAATCACTCCAAGTTGGTGAAAAATGGCTAATTAGGAATGATAAACAAGAAAATTGGATGAGAACTGAGACTGAATTAAGATATAGCAAACTGAATTCAGAAAAAGAATATCATTTTCATCTGCAGCTAGAAAAAGACTGGAGTACAATGTCATAGTTAATTGGGGAGGAGCAAACCTTTCAACTGTTTGCAAAATCACTTTGGATGGGATGGTTCTATAGTTATTTCATTCTAGTCACAAAAGTCAACCTGTTGCACAACTCAATGAGTGAAATGAAAACTATATGTAGAACATATATAGGACAGGTCCTTCAGGATATTATAGATTTGATTTGCCTGCAAGGTTTTTTTTTTTAATGCCAATAATACTACCTGCCACCTGGGATTTTTGAAATGAGGAGAAAAAGATTGACCTAATAAAGGAAGAAGCTATAGCAGCAGGGTCATGAAATGTCATCTTAATAACTAACAACTATCAGTGGAAAACAGTATTGTGACAAATACAATACGTTCATGCAATCTCCATCTACACAAAGCCAATTTTGGAGCAAATGTATGCTAAAAGCAACAATTTAAGAAAATGGAAAGAAGCAAACAACAAAAGTAGAAACCACAATTCTTCCACAGAAAACAACATAAGCAGAACAAGAAATGTCCATGAATCATTCATTTTAAATCAATGGTCTAAGTACACCATCTTCCTAAGTTGAAGCTTATCTTCGTGTACCTTCTACAAATTCTATTAATTGATATGATGTTTGCTCAACAAGCTTATAATTTTGTTCCAATTCATGTAGCTAAATTGCATGAATCAGACAATAGTAGCAATCTGTGGGAACAGGGAAGTGTTTAGGAAAGGAAAGGAACTATATTGGCCTTCTTACTGCTGCTTGAATTACTACACTGAAATGTAATACACAAGACGGGTATTGGATAACAGACAATAGACTTATTAGATGGAGGCACTGACTGCTTCTTAGGGACTGCTCAACTTTACAGCTTGGGAGTTCCAGTCTCAGTATGTTTGCTTGGAATAAATTGTGTGCAAACTCATATTCTAATATTTATTTTAAGTTGTGTTTTACCTGTTAAGAGTTATGGCTTATTTTAAATGTGCTTTGGGTTTTTTAAAGCAATAGAGAGAGCTAGGATATCCAATCCCAGAATAGCAATATACTTCTATCTTGCATGGAAGGGCAGACAACTCCTGTTTAATCTGTGATCATTTCATCTCCATATCAGTTATTACTGCTGTTTTCTATGAAGCGTTATGGTAGAGAGGATAAACCATTTTATATATTTATATAAGCAAACAGATAGTGTATAAAAATGATGGTGAAGATGATGGTGAACATGATGATGAGGGAGCAGAGGAAGGAAAACAATAATCATTCCAGAAGCATTTTGTTTGAAGAGAGTTAAGGGTTAATGTGATTTTGTTCATTGTATAATTAGTAAACTTAAATAGATTATGTTTAATATGTTTGTATAATCCTGTACTTTGCTCTGAGAAATCAGGAAGGGGGGTGGGAGGAGGGGGGTGGGGGGTGGATGGGTCAAAGTTTAAGTAGTTCAGATAAAGTAGAAATAGTTTTACCGTATATAATATTAATGTTTCAATTTGGAGAGAGGAATTGCTCTGGCATTTCCCCTGGACCGCATCCGGAGAGAGAAGGTAGAAGAAGGTGAGAAGTAAGTAGGGAGGTTGAGGAGAGGTGGAGAGTGAGGAAGAGGAAGAAGAGGGAAAGAGGCAAGTTGGTTGGGGGTGGATGCGGTTTGGGGGAAATGGGTGGACAATACCGAAAGTGGTGTGTATCAATTTGTTTTATTTTTTATCTGAAGTATTTTTAAGATTGTAATGTATTGTAAAATTGAAAATAAAAACTTAAAAAAAAAAAGAAACAGGTGGCAGTTGCGACTAGGAAAGTCTTTGTACAATTGGTAACACCACTTCTCCGTGAACTATGTTGGTTGCTGGTCTGCAATTCAAGATGTTGGTAATCACATTTAAAGCCCTTCATGGCATTGGTCCAGGTTACTTGAGGGACTGTTTCACCCTACTGGCCTGTACTACTCATGCTGGCAGAGGAGGTGTACTGCAGGTCAGCCTGATTATTCAAGCTGGTGGGGTCCAGGAAGAGGGAGTTCTCTGCTGTTGCTCCTGCGCACTGGAACATCTTGTCCCCGATGTGAGGTCTTATCTTTTCATATGGACCTAAAGAGTTGGCTGTGCCAATTGGGTTGGGGCTCCAGTGGGAGAACAGCACAATGGAGGTGATTAATAACAGATCCCACCTCCCCCCCACTCTGTCTCCATGTGTGCCCAATAATTTTAACTAACTAACTAACTAACTAACTAAAAATAAATAAATAAATTCATCCAATACAGGAAAATTACCCATTTGCCTCTCTTGGGTTGTTATAGTGTATTCAGAAAGTATTCAGACCCTCTTTACTTTTGTCAAT